AGCAACTCCTAATGGGATTAGGAGCTGATCCCTTTAAGATTATGAAAGGAGAAAGGGGCGGCAACAGTTAGTGGTTGATGTTCAATTCTCTTCAGAGTTGAAATCACAAGAAGAGAGAATTCTGCACCCTGCGAATACTCTCTTGCCGCCGCCATTACCTTCAGTTTGATCTCCAGTTCTTGGGAGAATTCAATATCTGATCTTGATATTAATCTTTTGGGAAAAGATTGATTAGAACTGTACTCACAAGCCATCCAGTTGATTCTTGCGAAGGGTCAAGTTCTTTTGGAAGAACATTGTTGATTCTGCTCCATCCTGCACTGTGCCATTTTCAGTGGGAGCAGATTTTGGATCCTTCCTTGGGCGTGAACACCTCCATTGGGAGATACTGTTTCTCCGTATCAGGTATTTCCTCCCTCCTACTCCTTTTGGTTCAGATCTGGTTTGTTTCATGGTTCAAGATTGATCATTGAAAAATATTTTCTTTTTCTAAAATAGGGAATTCGATTCCCTGCAAAGATGGGAGAAATTTTTGAAATTCGCCCAATCCATTCCGCAAGACTTGGGCGTCCATGCGATGGATATCCCATCCCTTCACCAACGTGGGCATGACAACCAACTGCTTTGTGTCAATTGTCATCCAAAGTAATTGGGAAAAAGGAATATGTGAATACACAAATGAAAATGCAGTATAAAATACATGAATTCACGAATTATGTGAAATTACCTTTGAGATGGCTCCTGCAATCCCAGATATTACCATTAGATCAGCAAATTGATCTTTGCTGAAGTGAAAACGGGCCTTCAAATAGTACTGCATAATGCAATTAGAAAGTCGGATTTATCAATCATACAACGTTCAGAATGTCTATTTGAAAACAAGGATATTATTTATAAATTGAACCTGTAGTACTAGCTAACAATGTAGTGCACTAAATTGAAAATTTCAATTCTTGATTAGTTTTATGACTTAAGTACATATATCCACATCAAAACATTGCTAGAATTGATCGGGTGTAATATAGTTTTCATTTGATATTGAAAGCTTTGACTGTAAAAGCCTTTTGACATCAAAGAACATGATGAGCCATCAAAAAAAGTGACCATTACTTCTCAACAGAAAGATTTCACTTCCCAAAGGAAAATTATTCTTCACATTTCCCTGCACTAATTTGGTAGTTGTTGGACAGTACCCATGTGAGTGTCACACTTTCAGTAGTTTCACTGCTTTCTACTTTAGACCCTAATAATTCACCAACATTAGACATGATACGTTATTGTACTAGCTATTCTATTCATTAGTTTATGCACAATCTGTAAGTTTCACTGCTTTCTACCTTTTTTCAAGCTCCAAACTTGTTGCTAGTCACAAAGCTTTCCTTAAACTTAGTAGAAGGTTGAACATTGGAGGTCATAAAAATGTTACTTTCTGTCAGCAGAAAAATACTGACTAATTCATTGAAATAGCACATCTGTTTACTTCATATGAAAATATCCACCAATAGAGTCACAGGTTGGAATGGGCCTTTTGGTGATTAGTCTTGGGACCTTCCTGAAGGATATATATGTAATAAGTAATAGCAAAAAAAAAGGAGAAGGTATGGCATAAGGTCTGGCTCCAAAGTTGAAGCTATCCAGAAGTTCTGCTTGAAGAACCGTTCCTGTTGGCATACATCATGCTAACTAAGAGCTCTTCATCCATTGCTGTTATCAACAGAACACATCAAATAAATAAATATTGTTTATTGTCTATGTCAGATAGCCGACTCCATATAGTTGGGATAAGGCTAGCTTGGATAATGATAGTGATGATGTTTATGTCAGATGTACTGTTTTCTAATGAGATTACCAGACCATATATTGACTTCTTGGATTAACTAGATGACGTGTCAAGTGTCTTACGAGAGGAGCACTTGCAACACCAAGACAATCTCATGTTTAGTAGATCGCGGAAGAGTATTCCCTCAGTTATTCCTAATATTTCCCCCTATATATATGCTATCTTACTTACAAGCATCTCTCAATTAAAACATAAGAATAATATACACAAAAAGGGTTACTATTCAACTCCGTGTCAGTAATTTTGGTTAAACATGATTACCACGAACTCTCCTTATATTTGGACTCCACTGAGAAAAAGTAATTACATTATGCAGTTTTTTTTACAATTCTTTAGGAACCAGTGAGACCATTCAATATAAAAAATAACGAAACAGAAGAAATTTGATCATGCATTTTATAATCTGGTTTCAGTTTCTGATTCATGGAGGGAGAAAGTACCAATAGTGGAGAGTGAAGGGCACCTTCTGCAAGATTGGTGAAGAATGCAACAATTGCTGCTTGTGAGAATGTCAAGCTGCATGGTAAACTTTTGTAACCTTATGAAAAGAACTCAGATGGAAGAAATTTATGACTTATTTTGAGAAAACTCGAAAAAAAATGTCTATGAAAACAACTCAGGCATTCTGCGACTCAATTGCCAAAGGTTCTATGGGTGTGTTGAGGTAATCAGATCCCAATTGGACCCAATAAATTTGAACATTCCACTTCTCTACCTCTTAGGACCAACTGTCCTTTACACAATACTTCCTTCTTAGTTACTTCATCAATCATCAGCTCTAAGGTGGTTGATCAGTTAGCAATAACAAGAATTGCGCCTTCCTAATGGGGTCTCCATTGGAACAAATAATGAAAGGGCTCTTCTCCGACACTTGTTGCTTGGGATCATTCAAATCTTCACAGATCGACTCCTTGAGGAAAGCCATCATGTATACAGCTGCAAGCACAGCTACAGAAGCAGAAACCTAGAACAAAAACAGTGATTATTATACATGAACATGGAAGACATTGGTGAGAATTGAATCAATTGAAAGATAATAATGGAGAAAATATCGAAGAGGGGAATAAAAAAACTAAAAAAAGTAAAAGAAAAGAGAGTGTTAAAACCTGGAATGTGGATGAAGTAGAGAGGAAACGAGCAGTTAGAGTTCCGCAGACAAATGCAGCAGACACAATGCCAGCAAGAATTCCGAACGCCGATACTCGTTGGCTATCTGGAACGCTGTCCGCCTGCAAAAGCAGAGAGAGAAGTAATGTGGATTGTGGAGGGAATTTTGAGTGAAGTTAACTTACTAAATTGCCATGGAACTTGAAATAAAATGAGCCCAGATGATGAGCAGTGTCATAATCCGTTAGTAATTTACATAGTACCTTGATGTATTTTTGACATCATTCTCAGTAACTAAACGTCTTATCACGTAAAATGGTTTTAAAATTATATAAATGATATTTTTGACATTATGTAATATTTAATTAAGGGAATACTAACAGATTGACTTGTAAGGTTGCAAAGGGTGGTTGGAGATGGAAGCCAATCTCTTTTTCAGGGGGTTCGGCTTCAATAAGCTCCAACCTTTACAGCCTTCCATTGAAAATATCTTCCTACTTATGTATCTTATTTAATAAAGAGATATTCACGGGCTTGCCCTAATGGAAACCAATCTCCGGATTCAGCTTCAGTCAGGGGCAAAAGTCCGTTTGGGCAGCCTTTTAGTCTTTTACGGTCTTGCATTAGAATATCTTTGTACTGACGGAGTCAATCTCTTTTTTAGGGTATTCAGACTCAATTTAAAATGATTATAAATACAAATTTATAAAATATAAAACCTTATATTTTATATTATTTTATATATATTTGCACTGTATGTATTTATATTTATACTCCTTCTAAATTGAGCCTCAAGTATTGCAATAAAAAATTGCACCTATTTGTAATTTACCCAAAATTTTGTTATCTCATTGATAACTGACAACTATTGTCCTGTCCATGCGCAGTATAGCCCGGCCTATCAAGAAATTGCTCCGTATCTCAGCTGAGCTTAGTTAGAAATCAATTTAATTCCTGATCTTGACTGATTGACACGGTATATTTACTCAGCAATCAGCATGACCATTCCCGCAGTCCCACTGGATCATCCCTCTACGGCTCTACCTCAATTTGGTGTCTGGTCTGAAATGTAGCAAGCCTCTAAGGCCTTGCTAGAAATGGGCCAAGCCAAACAAATGGGTCGTCGTGGTTCTCTGGGATGTTCTGGGCCCAGGGGAATACGAATATCCTTAGTCATGAACTGACAAATGGAACGTAGGTGGATGGGTTAATGGATTACAGGTGCGAGGTGTCCTGTAATTTCGTCAGACAAAAGAGAAAATATGGGTTGAAGAATTACCACATAAGCCAATGAAAGGCACTGAACGCTGCCATCACAAAGCATAGATGTGAGAGTCTTGAGCACGTAGTATGCGTAGAATAAGCTCGTTGTTCTGCTGCAAGCCAATATAACTGTAAAAAAATGCGTTACTATTATAACGTAAAACCATTCCCGTTCTCTAATCTCTACTTCATTATTGTTATTTTTTGGGCTTGGGCCAAACGGACTAAAATTCTGAAATGATCTATCAGTTTTGATGTGAGGCCAAGGCAATCATTGGAATTATGTACAGTAACATTTTGAGTTGGTTCGTGATGGGTGTCAAAACTCAAATGCGTTCAAGAATCAAGAATCAAGAATCAAACATTTATTATTTAGGTCTGTTTGGTTTGCAGGAATTGGGTCTGGAATCGGGAATTAGAATGAATCGTTCCAATTCTAACTATTTGATCGGATAGAATTGAAATTTTATTTTCATTGCTGTTGGAGTGATATTCTCCCATTTGAGAAAATGGTGGTTCCTTCTCCTTAAGAATAAAATCTCATTTTTATTTATTCTAATTCAGATTCTTGTCTAAACCACAAACTTTAAGAATAAACCATCCCAATTCAGAATTCAGAATTCAGAATTAACCAAGGGGACTACAAGGTTAAACCATTCCAATTCCAAAAGATTTTGACTAACCAAACAGACTTAGTGAGGCAAGAAAGAATACCTAGTGGAAAGATGGCGAGAGTCATTGGGAGGATAAGCAAAACTTTCCTGCCGTAGATGTTGGAGAGGTTTCCAACCAAAGGCGCTATGATGACCGAGCCCAGCCCTGTGATCTGCAACAGAACAATACACATCCGTTGGTGATCTTGCGTGACCGATTAGTTAGGTTGATATTGATCCATAATTCCATATACAATGCAACGTTCAAAAAATTGATATCTATAGGGAGTTTTCCTTACGGTGAGTGTATCAGGGTTTTGATTGGTCCAGGGGGTGAACGGACTTTAAACTGGTTCCTCTGAATCGGATTTGAAAAAAAAAATAAAAAAAACTAAAAACAACTGATTCTGTCCAATACTCTTTTACCGATGTATTAAATGTATCGATATTTTGAACCTTGATACAATATATCTTCAAATATTTTAAAAAATGTATTTTCAAATATTAATTTAGTAAGTGGAAAAAAAGGTTCTTGATGTAAAAGAGATGAAAATAATAACTCAAAAGTTTTCAATCTGAAAATATTTAGACTAAACAAATGAAAATAATCATCTTTGAACCAAACAACGTTCAGCTCGTTAACCTCGTCCATTCAATATGTAGACCGCATAGGTAGTAGGGGTTCAGTCTTGCACTCTTGGTTCAACCAAATCTGACTTCGGGACTACTGATCCTATTTCCCAAAAATTACTTTTTTTTTTTTATACAGAAAGTTTCCAAAAAAATTTACCTTTGGTTAAACTCCATATACCCTCCCATTAGAGTGTTTCGCTTAACTACCTAACTTCATTCAAGTTAAATAAATAAATATATTTGTTAACATTCTATTATTAGGAAAATGGTCATCAGAAAAATGCCCTTGCGTGCATCATGTAATACATTAGCCACTTTTGAATCCAATTTTACCTTTTTGGACGAATTTTTCCTTGAACAAGCAGATAACTCTGTTGGACTGGGTTTAGGGACGCTGTGACATTGACATATGAATTGGCAAAAGCATCCTTAAAAAAAGTAATTTGGACATTTAAAAATATCTAATACATAACATGATGGGCACAGGGGGCATTTTCTATTTATTTTCCTAATGGAATATTTAGAGGTTTTTATTTGCTTGTAATAAATAGTTCAAGGGATAGTTTTATACAAAATAAGCTTAGCTAATTAAGTGAAACATCTCCATGGTATTTAGTGTAGGGGCTACACAATGAGGGATAGCTCGTCCCTCATCAAATCCTTAACACGCCAAACCAGTGATGGTGTGGGTAGGAGTGTAACTTGGATTGACCCGACTTTAACATTTTATACTGTTTTGTTTTGGGTTGGGTCTATTTAAATATTGACAAAAGCCCAAGTTGAGACCACCCAAATTATACCCTTTTGACATTGTTTTGAGTTAGGTTTATTCAAAATTTGACAAAAAACTTAGGATTGTGTTGGGTGTAGGTGGAATCAGTTCCCAACCGATTAGTAATTGGGACGAAAACATAGACCTATAAATGTCCTCGTTAATAGTCAGGTCTATCATGTCCATATCAGGTTATATTAAAAACTATATTTGTTTATTAAAATAATAACTTAAAATTTAAATTTTGATCATATAATCTTAATAAAAATGATGAAAAATATTAAATTATTTATATGTTAATAAATTAAACATTTTTAATTAATATTTTTTATTCATTATCTATCAGATTTATCATTTCAAATATAAATTATGATAAAAATTATAAGTAAAAAAATTATTATATATAAAATAAAATAATTAGTTCTTGGTCTAAACTGTTTTGAAATTGGAAAGAACTGGAACCAATCCAATTATTAATTGGAATAAAATTATGAATCCAAAACCGTTATAATCAGTTTGGTCAATTTGACCCGACCCATTACAATCCTATAAAAGCCGAACAAAATCCTAAGTATGTAATACAACCAGCAAAGACGTTACCAACCGAGATAACAGGGGTAGTCGTTCCCTCGTACCTACAACCCCCCAACTAGACTTGTTCATGGGTCGGGCCGGGCCAGGCTTTCACTCTGTATTAATAGATTTTTCTAAGGCCTGAGCCTGAGCCCGGCTCTCATAAAAAGCCCAAAGTTCGGGCCTAGGCCCGAGCCCAAAATTTAGCCCATACTGTTACTATTGCTGAAGCGGCTGAATAGAGATAGAGAGAAATTATAAAAAAATATAAAAAATGTATATATTAAATTATAAATATATATATATATATATATATTTCAATAGATATTGTATTATTTATATATTTTATATAATATATAAAATACATAAAATATATAATACTGAATCGGGCCGGGTTTTTTTGACAAATCTTGAGCCCGGCCCAAAACACAGTCGGACTTACTATGTTAGGCCCGAGGTCAGGCCCGCGGACTTAATTACATGACCAAACCTGACCGGGGTGGCCATGTAATGGGATTTTGATTCCAAAACTCTGCTACAATCAGCCAGGAAACTTATGAACTGAGTCACCATCGGTTTTTTTTTTTAATGGGTGAATAAGAATCATAAGCTTGAGAACAACACAACAAAATCAAAGCCTTTGCTTTCAAATAAAAAAAAAAAAAATCAAAGCCTTGGAGGTATTGTGGCATCGTGTGGAGCGACAACAATACATGGAAAGACCATGATTTACAGATTTAACCCTTCACCAAAACCATGTCGCAACAGAAGTGAACTCGCATGTAGTTGCCACTTTGCAGGAAAATCCATCAGCCTTGGTCCAACTAAAATAGAAAAAGGGGAGTAAATCCTCTTCCTCCCTCAACTGTGGGTCCTTGGGAGATTTACATATATAGTGCTTCACTCTGATTTCTGAAGTTTAGCATCCTAAGCTTGACTGGCAATGCATTGAGAGAGAGAGAGAAGGTTAATGATAGTCATAGACATACCGCCTGTTGGAATCCACTGAGGTAAATGGCGATGGAGCATTCATCTCTTCCGGGGCAAAGCGCCGACATTGTAACATCGGTGATGGCCGGAATCACCATGAATGTTGCCAAGTGATAGAGAAACACTGTAATAAGGAAGTGGCTCAACCCTGCAATTGCATACGCCATCTCTCTATCTCTGTATATGTGTCTCCAACTCCCAGGTGTAGTAGTACAACACAGATGGCAAAAGAAGAAAAAGAACGAAAGAAGATTCAAGGCACATCACATAAAACAACATGGGGCCAAGCAACTTCATTTAAATTTTAAAGAGCTAATATAATGTATATTCATTCTTCCTCTGTACGTCCACATCAGAAGTTGTGTCGTCATATTCGCTAACCTCGAATTAAAGCTTTTTCTTTTACGTCTAACTACTTAGCTTCCACGCTTTAGGCTAATTGCTTCCGTACCGTATATGATCATCTATTAATTAATTAACACAAGTTACTTCCATGTCCTTCATGTTTAATTGGATTTGAAGCCTTTGATCAAAATTATAATTAATCATGCATCTTCACTTGTGTTAAAACCGAGAATTATGGCCTTGTATGTATTGCAGTGGCTCTACCAATGCGTTATTTCATCTAATTCAAAGGCTTTGATTTGATTTGGTTGTTTTAGCTCTGGGTTAGCTATTGTCGTTGAAACAGTGGTTAGAATAATAAGAATCTTCTGTCAGTGTTGGATCATCCATATACAGGTAGCTAGAACTTTCCAGGCAGTTTCGAAATGTTTTCGTTTTCATTGTACCCCCTTGCCTTTTGTCAATCATGCACAGAATATCCGTGCTATGCACACTGCATAGCATTTCATCCTCCTAAGGTCATGGAAGCTTCCACCTCCGTCTTTCACATTTCCAAAAAAAGTAAAAAAATAAAAAATTCAATCAGCAGAAGATGGGTGATACGGTGATCAACCTTCCTCACACAGTGGCCTACATATTTATTGGGCCCAGTTTGGCATGTATTTTTCGTATGGGCTGTCGTTTTTTTAAAAGTTCTAAAGTCCACGTTTTAGTTTTTCATGTTTTGATTGAAAAAAGATTTAACCATAGAAAGTCATACGTCATCTGACCATACATCATCTTTTGACTATGAGAGCTTCAAAATGATATTTCAAAATAATACTTACCAAACAGCCCCTAAATATATAATATAGCAGGTTGGGTCCTGTCAAGCAATAAGCATCACAATTAAGTACGATTCACCAAACAACTCAAGTCTTTAATTCAGTTGGTGGACGAGATACGGATACATGATAGAGGAGAGGAGTGCATATTCCCGACTTAATTTTTGATGACGGTGATGATGATGTCCATGATGATCTACAACTACCCTTTGGTTGTGTTTGGTTTAAAAGAAAAGGTAAGAAAAAGAAGGAATCGAGTGCAAATCGTCGTCGTTCACGCTTGTTTCTGCTATGCTTCTAATGCTGTTATTCGTTCTTGTCATACTTGTTGTTCTGGATTCTTCTCTCTTCCAGTCAGCAGAAATGATCACGTAAGCAGGTTTTCAATCGCTAGCTGCTGCATCTGCTTTTTTGTTATCAATAAAGTCGTATATTTTGTCTCCATTTGTTCGTTCAATCGTCATCGCAATCTGCAATATTCAGAAATGATGGTGTCGGACTCGGAGAGTGAGGGTTGCAGTGGACGGAAGTTATCTCATGGGAGCCCAGAGCAACCCTTTATCACAATTTCCTGGTAAGCTTCGCTTTTTGACAAGGAAGAGCTCTTTAATCTATACGTATTTTCTACGTTCATAACCATATACGTATCTTGTACGCACATGCATTATCTCTCTAGTCTACGCTTGTAAAGTGGGTAGACGTACGCTGCACTTATAATTACTCTTATTTTAATGGAAAACTAGTGGGGACACGTGTGATGTACCGCTTTGTTAAAATAATTTGAGGCAAAAGGAGTTAAGAGCAAAAGTTGGGTGGACTCAATCCAAGCCAACCCTACTCAATCAAAAATTTTGCATAGGTTGGGCTTGAGTTTTTGAACTTCATGATGGGGTTGGGCCAAAAAGCTTAGGTCTAATTAAACTCGGAGTAGGCTTAGGTTGAGGCCTTGGGTACTGATCCCATGCAATCTAAGCCTGCCCAACATTTTATGTTATATATATCTATATATTATCAATCTATTTTATATGAAAATTGAACTACAAAGATCAATATGCCCAAATCCATGCCTAGCCCAAGTAAGGATGGCAACAGAGTGGGTTTAAGAAGGGTTTTGTAAATTCTAAACCCTGCCTGCCTCCCTAAACTTCCCAATCTATACTCACAGCAAAATCCATATTGGCTTGGATTTTGAGAATCCAAACCCTCATCGCAAATGAAAATGCAAAGTGCTCCTCAACCCCACATTCAAGGATAGGGTTGATAGCGTTTAGAACCCATATCTAATTTTCTATTATTTCTTTGTTATATATAACTAATAAATAAGTAAAGTAATATAAATAAACAACAAAGTTTCCAAATATTTGATTAAGACGTAAATAAAAAAAAACACATAAACTATCAATTATCCTTCACATCAAAATTAAAATATTATTAAATTCAACACATATTATACAAAAAATTATATGCTTTCCAACAATATGTGGGTTGGGGATCGGAGGGTCGGGTTTAGCCTAGTACCATACCCTACTCATAACATATGGGTTGTAGAATCCCAAAACCCAACTTGCCCCAAAACCCATCTTAAAGCAAAAACCCGCCCTGTTGGGGTGGATACCCATTGGGTAGGATAGAAATTGCACCTAGGTTTGTAAACTCGAGCTTAACCTTGAGTTGGGCCAAGCCTAAGCTCAAGGTTTGAGACTTAGGATTGGGTTGACCTTAATCCGACCCAACCCACCCAAGTTGCACCCTAAAAAAGAGGACTATGACATTCCTAATTGTATTAGTTTCTATTTTTTATTACATTGTTTTAACTTTTACTAAATTTTTATTTAGTATTAGTTTTTATTATTTTAAATGGATTAACGGATTTTAAATTAATAATAATTGAATGTAAAACTAATAATTTTATTACTTTTTTGGTTTTACAAAAAAATTGTAGTATCATTATCAAATTATAAGATTTAATTTTGAAATTAAAATTAAACATGTATTAATTTGTATTTACTTTCTTTTAAATAAAAAATCTTGTATTAATAAAAAAATTTAAAATATTTTTATTAATTTGTATCATTTTTATATATAATTTTATATGGAAGAAACTTAATTAATAATTTGCTGCCTTGACCAATAAACGTAAATTAACTAAATAAAAGTAAATTATTAAATAACCTAGTTAGGCGTACACAAAGTTAACTAACTACTAATTAATTAGTTTTGACTAATTAACTTAATTTAATTAAGTTAATAAAAAATTAATTGGTTCGATGAAACACCCATTGCAACAGTATTACATAAGAAATCCAAAAAGAACTGACCAAGTAAAAGGTTTATTGGGTGTTTGGCATTAGAGCATTCCTATTGATGTGGCACATTGAAAATTGAAAAAGCTAACTTTTTTTTTATATGTTATACATTTGTTATTATAAATATATTATAATGTTAAACTAAATCATGTTAAACGCCTAGCCAATCTGCAACCCAATTTTTTTGGTGTTAAAAAAAATAGGTGAAATGAAACTTGTGAATCGAGGCCCACTTGTGAAACATTCTGGTGCCAAATACCCATTTAGGCAAAGATAAATCCCGTCTAGCAATTAATTAAATGCGCAACAGCATTTGCAATCCAACTAGACTTGTTCATAGGTCGGGCCAGGCCAGGCTTTGCCTCTACATTAACAAGATATGCTCAAGCTTAATCCCAAGCCCAACCTAACTATCGAGCCTAGGTCTTAAGCCCGAGACTGACCCTCATATAAAGCCCGAAGCCTAGGCCTGAGCCTGAGCCCGACTAGAAATTTAGAAAAAAAGATTTTGTTCCTTTTCAGCTAAAAATTATTTTATTTATATTAAAAGACTTTAAAACTAAAAAAAAATAATAAAAGACCTTACTATTACTTGAAAAAAGTGAAGAATAATAAAGAAAAATTATATTATATATTTTATATAAAATATATTTTCATTATATGATACACTATCAAGTTGGGCTCAGGTCGGACTTTTTTGAGAAAGCCTAAGCCCGACCCCAAAAAAAAGGTCAGGCCTGATGTTTTACTCCCGAGCCCAAGCCCACGGGTTAGAAATCCTACCCAAGCTAGACTTAGATCGGGCCAAATCAGGTTGGCCTGTCGAACTACCTAGCCCATGAATAGGTCTAAATCCAACACACACACATGGCATGAACGAAGGTAAGATTAGATTCTTACGGGCAGTAATGATATGAAGAAACCGCCGCGATGGAGAGTGAGCATCCACCAGCATGAGTTGGAAAATAACACCTAATTTGATAACTAAAACTCTTGAACCAATGAAAGACCTTTATATAGAGCCATTACTTCAGCCATGGCAGGGCTCTCACATTGAATAGGGAAAGCTCCAAGTAAGTGTTTGACACCGGTCCAAGGATCATTGCACCATTTTCTCATAAAAACGGTGTTGGGCATGTGAAGTTGTAAGTACCATTTTCTAAAAAAAACGGCGTTTATTTTTTCTTCGGAATCGATGCTGCCACATAGGCATTTTCTGAGAAAACAATATTGGTTTTATATAATACTAGTATTGGTAGCAACGATTTCAACATTAATCTATATTATCCAACGTCCAAAATGATGCCACATCATTGCACTGTTGGTAACAATACACCATTTTCTCAAAAAAATATTGAATTTGGCATTGCTTTATACATAACGTTTTTTTTTTCCTAGAAAAATGTTGCCAAACAATAAGGCATTGTTTGAAGCACCACTTTCTCTGATGTGTAGTGCCTAAGTGCCACCATTTGTCAGAAAACAGCACCGATGCCAATCGCCCTAGCTAACAGAAAATCACCATTATGGTCCCAAAGAACCAGCTCAACAGATCCTGCACCTAGTTTGAAGAAACCTGCATCTACATTCAATGTATTGGACACATGATTCAAAATATCAATACTCTTGATATAAAAAAAAAGATCACATATTGTGAGTTTTCAACCATGATATTCTTTTCTTTTCTTGATAAATTCACAAATTAAGATAAGTATCTCAATATTTGACGTTTTGGTGACGTGTTGATAATTTGAATCATGAT